TATAAGACAGAAACAAAATAAATCTGAAATTTTATTTTTTAAAAAAATCGGGCGTTACTTTCTGTGGCGACTGTACATGTATTTTTAAATTAGCATTTATTTTTACGTGTGTTTTTAATCACTAGATTGACTATTTGATTCACAAAAATAGGGATGATTTATTATTTATTTTGTTCATACAATGAATAAAATACAAAGAAATTGCGTTAAAATTAGTTAACTTTATCCTCACTTTCGTGTGGTATTGTTACCATTATACATTTATGTGCTTTAATAATTTCACCAATCCCAAAAATTACGGCAAGATCAGCATCTGCGCCCCTGTAATTCCAACGCATGTAGTTTTTCAGCATGTCTTGTAGAACATTTCTACAACAGCAGATTTTCCCATGAGACTCGATTGCATATTTTTCCGCATACGTAACTAGAGTATTTTTTTTATACATAATTTGTGTGAAATTTTAGCACACTTTCATCAGCTCTTTGTTATATCCTTTGGAAAAGAAATATCGATAGTCAATAAATTATTAGCATTCTTTAGTTATTTCGGTTTAATGAAATATAGATAATGGTCCTTGAGTTATCAATAAAAAGAAAGAATGACAGAAAATAAAAAATTTTCCTTCAAAAGAAGTAAATTAGTACAATTCATCAAAAATAAAAATACTTGTACAATCGTAACTGTAATCATATCGTGTAGATTAGGTTCTTGTACCAGAAAGAGCACGCATAGAGATGGGCAAATGCGCGCATAGTAACCATATGCGCATAGTATATATACAAGTATGTAATACGCATAATGATCTACATGTACATATATGATTTTATTTTCTATAACTGTTATATACATTTATCAATAATTATCACTATTACTTGATGTTTCTAATATATCATCACTATTATCTGATATATTAAATTGTTCGTTTTCATTATCATCCTGATATTTGCTTTCATTATTATCCTGATATCCACTTTTATCACTCTCATTACCAGCATAATATTGATTGACACTTATTTCATCATTAATGCTTTTTTTGACAATTTTTTTTGATTATCTGGAGGAGTTTGTAATTTGTAATTATTATAAATATAAACTAATTTAAAAATATGCTTACTACTTAACTGATTTCTTTTTTTGTTTTGAATATTTGCAAAAGCTGACCATTACATTCAGAAGCTGCAGATGATATTGGATATGTTGTGCTAATTGTGTTAATTCAGGCACTGTTTGTGCAAAATTCGCAATCCATCAAGTAATTGGATCAATATTATCAATGCACTTTCATGCTAATGTATTACTGAAAAAATCTGATTTTGCTTTGTATTGCATAAGTTGAATTCCAGGTGAATTGTGCATTGAGTGAACTTGTATTAACAATTTCTGGATTTTCAAAGCTCATACCAAAAAATAATCATTTAACTTCAATTAAGGCATTTGAACATACACGCAGATATGACTTACACCGAATTACTGAATTATTGCATTGATATTTGGGATTTTCACAGTATTTACATTCTGCATGCTGTTGTCAAAATCCAGCAATATAACCAATTTGATTAAAATGTTCCCATATAGAACTTCAAGAAGCTATAATGATAAATATCGATATGTACAATAATAAAGATGTAGATAGATGTTTATCATTATCATTATACGTATGTTCTGTATCGGTATAAATGCGCTGGTTTATCATTATTTATTGAGTACAAATGCCTTAATTGGTGATGATTTATGAACTTAACCATATGCATAATTGTGTATGGGCATTTACGATATCGGTTAGTAACTATGCGCATAATGCGCATAGGCACATCTCTAGTCGTGATTGAGGAAGATAATAGCTCCTCTTCTTCTTCTGTGGTATCTATCTCATTGGATTTTTTTACGATCTGTAGAATCTGGTAAACAATAATAAATGAAACATAAAAATAAAGATGCACTGTATTTCACGGGTTATAAGCAACAACTTTTGATCGAGTTCTGAGTCTTTATTTGGCATGGATTGTTTATAACCGGAAGTTATGTTAATAGAATTTTTTTCATGCCGAAATGATCAATATATGCTAGTATATTCCTGAGTTATATCTCTGACAATGTTCACAGACATTTAGAATTTTTTTTTACTTCCCGAACTAATGTAGCATTCAAATGAGACAGATTTGGCCAGAATGAAGTGTAATCAGATGAAATGATGACAAAGAAATAGTAGAAAAAATAATATTTGAATAAATTAAATTTATTGCTTATAACTAGAAAAAATAAAAAATTATAAAATGAGTCGAAATCAAAGGCATGGCTTATAACAATTTCAAAAACTTATGTTAACACTTACTAATAATTCCATTATAAATCCGAACTTAAATTATAACATATATTAAAGGTCGATATTCTTTATATCGACGATGATTGTGTTATACATATGTTTTATTTTAAAATTTTAGCTAAATTCTATGTTCTCACAATTTGTCATAATATAAAATTCGTTTCGAGATTGTTTTGCTTTGGTACTATTGGTAAATTTGGATTTTATTTAACTCATACATACTTGTTTTATTATGTAATAATTCACCAAGCACTCTGTAAATAAATATTCAATTTTTGATTTTACTTTTTTGTAGTTTTTTCCCGGAGATATTCGAGTTCGGCATTACCCTTTCGTGAATTTATGCATGTTGTACAGACATTATCGGTATTGATTTCAGTCGATCAGAATTTGCATAATGCCACCGCAGACACTGCAAAAATATTGGTTTGCAAGATATTTTAAGTAATAAAGGGTTTTATCATTCAGTTTATGAATCCCGAGTAATTTTGTTTGGTCTTGTTCATTGTTTGATCATCTATAATTATAAAACAAACGAATTACTTGTTAGGATAACGAACTGCATGTCATTTTTTCGTTTTGGTCAAAAACAATTAAATAGTTATGATTAATATACGATCAAGCATGTGCTTAATATTATGCAACACGAGCATTAGATACCACATATTGTCTATTGCATAAAATAGTCTAATTTTTAATAATAAGTGCAATTAGACAGAATATTTTATTGGTGGGTACTGTCTAAATGCAAGTAAATGAATTTTTTATATGACAGATTTATGTAATTAGACAATATCAGCTGTAATTTGTGTTTAGATATTGATTTCACATTTGTTTTTGATACAATCAACCGTCAGTCATATTGCTACGCAAATAATGAAAGACGCACGTTATCATATAATATTCGTATTTTATAATTTAATTGATATGAAAAAAACCATCTGATCGTTTTATTTATTTAATCTAATCGTCTCTGAAACAGAAGATAAATCTCAAAAATAAAAACATGCAATCTATAATGTTTTGTTAATTTTCAATATTCCATCGGATGGATAATTAAATTTAATCCGAAGTTAATTTCAAATATAGGTACTTTGTTCCTCGTTATCAAACTATAAATGATAAAATGTACAAGTATGTACATGTACATGTACATATTGATATGCAGATTTCCTTTGTAACGTTAAATCTTATCTTTTATCTTTTATTAAAAACCTGCTTTTGATAATTATTATCATTAATCTTATCGTTTTTCGAGAATAAATTGTTAAAGTAGATAATCGCTATGCAATAGAATCTAATCTTGAATATACAATTTCGAATTTTTATATCTATGTTACATAAAGATAAGGTAACTTTTAAAATATTCGAATTTTAAACTCTAATTCTTAAAAAATAAATTCAGTACAATAGCATAATGGAAAATCATAAGATTATCGGTGTTTTTTGTAAAGTGTATTCTAATTATTATATCTATTCCGATAAGACGTACTTTTTATAATTCATATTAATTATTAATTTTGTATTAAAATTTTCAGTAAATTTTTTTCAAATCATGAAAGGAATTAAATCTTAAATCGATATCATTAGTTTGGAAAAATTCTCGATTTTGGAGACCGCTATTTTTTTCGTCTATATTTGGTATAGAAAATTGCATTGAAAGATTCAGAAGATCATCTATATTCTTTAAAAGCAAAAAATAAAAAGATAAAAACAATTTCATTAAATAAATATGCTCAAATGTTTAAAAATTTAGCAATAAGATTAATGTCTTAATTTTTTCGTTGAACCCTTTGTTACATACTTTCCGAAAACATACACAAGGTTAAAAAATGAAACTTACTAAATGAGAAAAAGGTTGTGCAAAGTTTATAAAACTGTAATTAGTTCTCTTATTTATAGTAGAAGACAATTTATTAACAGCTTTCTCAAGACTCTCAATATTTGTCTCTATTATTTCAATACTTTCATCATTTTCGAGACATTTACGACATTGAGTTTCAGTAATTTTCTTTTTAACGTTTCGAGGCGATTTATAAATCTCGTTCCTTACAATCCAAAGATGTCTTCGTCCTGTAGTATCCGGAGTAGTATTATTCTTTCTATTTCGAGAACTTGCATTGACTCTTTTAGTTTTGGAGATTCCGTTGCTATTACTCTTTTGAACCATAATTTTTGTGTTAGTATGAGATGATGCCATTTTTGCATATATTATTGAAATCCTTGTCAATCTAATATCTTCTGTCAGAACAACTCGAGAACGCGCTTCTTTATATATACATGTAGATATTGTATAATACACCAATCACAGAACGACAGAACGTCTATGATATGCATGCATAATTTTATAGTTTAGTACATAACGATAATTACCAAACGCATCCCTTCCGTCCGTTACCTTTAGCCATGGCAACACGTTTAAATCAAAACAAAGAAAAATTTGTAAACTGAAACAGTATCTCCATACGGTCATAAAATCCGGTCGTTTTTATATAGAGGTGATTTTTAATTCATTTAATTCATTGGTTCTCAAAATAGATAGGTTGTTGTTATATCGAAAGTTCTTATGGAGATGTATGGCTATAGTTTGATCCATTAATAAGATTCAAACGCGTCCATGATTTATATAACATTTTTCATTTGGCTTTTAGCAACACGTTTTTTGATGATATGTTTGAATTTGTTCAAGAATCAAAATTTTGAACATGTAACGTTGACTTGATGATTTGATCAAACTTATCAAGGTCTGGAAGACTCAAGTTATAATTGCTGGGAAATAAGATATTGTCCAGTATATCTCAACATTTATCCAACATTGCTCATTTGACTTTCTACCGAAAAATTAGTTGCGCGTTATTGTTTAATATTTGCAAGCAATTTATGGTTGTAAATATCTGAAAAAATAATACGGAAAATATAAAAACTGTTACAATCACAAAAAACGGTATAAAGCGTCGTCTATTATTCATATGAAAAAACGCTTTTTACTGACAGATTTATAGGGATAAAACTTTAAATTTTGTTATAAATTATCAGGGTTTTGTATTTTAATTATTTGAAATCATTTAAGAGGATTTTTGAATATAAATTAATTGCTCGCCGTGAGATATAGTTTGTTGAATTAGAGATATGGCTTATAAAATCAAACAGATCAATTTGTACTATCAAGCAAGCTTTTATGTGTTCTCAGTAAATTCATAGTGCATATTTTTTATGTTCAAGAAATTTATATAATAAAATTTATCTCTTTATCTCTTTCAATTCATAAGATTTCAATGCAAAACAGATCCATATATTTCAAATACCAATGCTTTCTGGATAAAAATAATGGAAAAAAACATAAATATAGGATAACGTAATGAAATATTATCATGTTAATAAAAATTATAAACAGTTCATTTGTGGAAAAAATAATTTTGCAGCAACTGGAATCCAAAAACAAAATTGATTATATATAAGCTACGCGCTGTTAATTAAAAATATGAAGTTTAGAAATATGTTAATATCTCTTGATAAGATTCCTAAATATTATTGTTATTATTTTCAATTGTTTCGACCTAATTCTTCTATTTGTTTGTAGCGTTAATATTTTTTTCTTGTATGAAATTAATTCATGCGCTATTCTAATTAGATTTTTGGTCATTTAGCCTCACACAATGAATATTAATAATGATGTGGTTCATCGAAATAAATAGCCTTGAACCAATCAGATATTGATTAAATAAAATGAAAGCACAAATCAGTTGCTATTATCTATTTGTTATAAAATATAGGACAAAATTCTAAATGGAACATTAATGTCTTATGACATATCCTTATGACATATTTTTTATGTATTATTACATAACATCTTACGTAACCTTGAATTATATGTACATGTAGTTACCTTAATTGTAATAAACTATTAATTTAGCTCTTAAAATATTCGGGATGTGTAATTTTATCTTCGATTTTCAATAATTAAGATTTGTATTACTTGCACATGTAGCGATTACATAATCATGAATAAAAGAACAGAACACAGTGGAAGTTGATAAAAGGGATCATTCTTCCTGACATATATTTCCCGAAAAAATTAATAATAGAAAAAGATTATGTAACATAATGCTATTAAAGCCAGTTTTGGAATACACATAATCATTATAACGTATTCAATTTATTATTCGTAACCATAAATAATAACGCGACAAATTCAAGATCGCTACATTCAACCCACAAGTTAGGTTGACGAATTGATGAATAAAGATCAGAACTAGATACATGTAGTGTTGTCAATCAATTCGGTAACGGTCGACATCCCGAAGGCAACAATATAAAGAACAAAAAGTTTTACAAGCAACATTTTCTTCAGGCTAATTTTGAATTAATCACAACTCAAAATTCTGCTTGATGCTATCGGGAATCTTTGAATAAGTCTAATATATCGCGTGAGATTTTATTAAAGGTAGTTTTGGATATTATCCACTATATTGTAGTGACATAAATTGCGTAATTCCTTAATTTTTCGTTAAATTCTTTAAGGGAGATTATCGATACCATTTGACCTAAATTTTTTCATCCACAAAGGCATCCAGTCCTAAACTAGTTTCTTGATTGGCTAATTCTAATTCTTTACTTCAAAATTGTTGGATTTTGATTATATTGTTTTCATGGCATTAGTATATAAGCAGTTTTAGCAAAAAAAAAAAAACCAAGGATAAAAAAGCCGATAATAGGAAATGATTAATTTGGTAATAATAGACATCGAAATCGCTGCAGCCACAAAAATTAAATTAGTTCACAATTAACCATATACCGATAACTTTAATGTGGTAAACTTGCAATTTGTGAGTCTATAATTCTTTTTATAAGCGTACGATTTGAACAATATTGTCATAATTTTTAGATCAGATAACGGTTCGTAAGTTTAATCATATTTGATTTTTCGTATTTTATTACGACTATTAATTCTTGGTCAGTTTCATAAGATACATATAATCTCAGTGATAGTTAGAGTTCTAGATCGATATTAATTTACTCATTCTTTTGATATCTCCTATTGTTATTAAACTTATTGTCTTCAAAAATTATTAGAAACGATAGTATTTCCGATAAATAATCATAGATATAGTGACGATTTAAATTTGTATATACAGTGGCGCTCAAAAGTAATGCATCACTAGGATGAAAAAACGGATCAGGGAATTTTCAGCAATATAGATGCCACAGGCAGTGATCCTAACCGGTTAAAAATTCTTAACTGGTTATTTTTTGTGGTTAACTACAGTTAACCAGTCAGTTAATAGATATTTCCATATATAGTAATTTTTAATTTTTTAACAAAAATAGTATATTATAATAAAAAACATACACATAAAATAAAAGTATCATATCATTGATTTTTGAATAATAACTATATATCATAAAGATCATAACATATTGTTGATTTTTGAATAATAAACTATATTATAAAGTTAATAAAGTCATTTAGGAACAATCATAAAATTAGTTGAAATTGTTGTAAAAATAAAAGATCTGAAACAGTAGTTGGATCAAGACAATTACATTTCTCAGTAAGAACATTACCTGCATTAGAAAATAATCTTTCAGCTGGAACTGAACTCGCAAGAATAGACAAATAAAAATGAGCAATTTTTGATAATTGAGGAAAAGTATTATGATTAACTTTCCACCAAAGAATTAAATCATTTTTTTCAGTCAGAGGAAGAATAGGAAGATCTATATAAAGATCCAATTCAGACTTAGTTTCATACATGTCTTGCATTTCCAAATTTCTCAAAAAATTGCAACATAGAAGATGATAAGTTAGTTATGGATGAAGAGCATTCAACTTTTGATGATGAATTAATATGATTATGAATCAGAGACAATGCATGCTCTTTTTGTAAAGGTGAATAAAAGCAAGTAATTTAAAGTGTGGATTCATTAAAAATGCCAAAGTCCAAGATCTTTCCATTAATTTTTCATTGATTTTAAAATATTATCACAAATCTAAATAATAAAATAATAACTAAGTATTGAATATTATATTATATACAATGTGTGATAAAAAAACTTAACTATACTAAATTCATTATAAATTCATGAATATTACATCAAATTTAGTAATCAATATATTATTTAAAAGAAAAAAAGTTATAAAATAAAATTTATTAGACTTAAAACTTGATTTGTTTATCTTTACTTTTAATAAATAACTTATAATAATATTTTATCAAATTTATTAAATTATTTAAAATAATTTTTGAAATAGAATTCTATTCTTCTATCAAAAACTTATTTAAATATCCAAATTTTTAGGTATTTATTTCTTAATATTACTCTCTAAAAATTTTTTATAGAATTAAAATCAGTTTAGATAGTTTAGATATAGAATAGATATTTTCATTCTAATAATATAATAAGTTATATATCTTTTATTTGTGAGTAATTAATAATATTTTAATAGTAAATTTTGCAAGAATATATTTAATAAGCATAGTAAATAAATCTGTTATTTAATTTTAATTCAGTAAAAAATGATATAAATTAAGATAAAATTGAAGATATTTATTTATTATCTAATATAATCAGTAAATAGTTAAGTTTTTTTATTACTTATTGTATGTTAAAAAACTCTTAATTATTGAATAAAGAATTAAAATAATTAAATAATTTGCATCTCTCAAAAAAATTTATAGCTTGCACAAATAGATAAAGAATAGATATCAATTTCTTAATACCATTTTATTCATCTCTTATTATAAATAATATAGCTAAGTTATTATTATCTTTATATATTTTAGTATTATTATCTATTTATATTACTTTATATATTATTTTAATTACAAATTTTAAAATAAGAAATCTTTCAAGAACTTATAAAATTATATCTTTATTAATATCTTGAATTAAAATAAGCTTTTCTTTATTAAGATAAAGAACTTTTTGTATTTAAAAAAATAACTTTAGTATTTATTATAATAAAGAAAAAAATTAAGTATTTTATCTTTTTTAATAATTCTTAACTAGAATTAATTCATAATTTATCAGATAAAGCTAAATAAATAATATATATATAACAAAAAAGATTAATAATTTATAAGTCTTAAAATATCTTTATATTATTATTATTATATCAATAATAATTTATTCTTATAGATTAATATATCAATAATTAAATATATTATAATTTTATAGTTATATTTATATTAATATAAT